CAGGACTAGGGACAATTTTAAGATAAAATGCTGTAAAATGCCTTTCAAAGAATACAACATACATTTATTTGTGTATTTAATGTGTATGACTTGCATATATATGTATGCATGACACAGCCTCTCTTCTCCCTCTAAAGCCACAGGGCACACACTATTCACTGAGTGATGATGCCCACCCTCCATCTAAAGCTGATACTGATCCCTCCAAGAGTAAAACCAGCACCATACAAAACAGCTGAGGAGGAAAGGCCAAATCAGAAAAAAATCAGCTTGTAGCACTGATGGACGTTGAGGGTGGAAGGTGAGGGGGGAGAGCTTGTAGGTAAGTTAAGCATTAATTTGTAAAGCATGTTTGTCATGCAAACTATCCAGCATTCAGAGGCTGATGATTACTGCCTTCCTAATAGCTGCATATGATTAACTTCATTTTTCCTGTAGATTTACTGTGGATGGTGTCTGTGAAGTACCTGATGAAACCAATGGACTTACCAGCTGATCTTTGAGACGTGATGCCCAATATGCAAGTAGGGCAGTCTTTGCTCATATAATTATCATGTAAAAAAACAAGGGGTATAAATACTGTGAGAACAAAGCAGCACAGACCTCAGTCTCACTAGAAAGAAAAGCAGAAATGCAGTCCTGCATATAGTGACTCTCGACCTCTGCTTCACCTCCAGTTACATCCTGGTCTGCAGTGATTGCAACTAGGACATAATCTGACAGGTTGCACATAAAAATTGCCATCTTATCTATGCACCTTAAAATGTTAAATGTGCTTTTCCCCATTATTCCACCCAAGGAAATAGGGAAGAGGTAACGATTCCTGGTTTTTTTTTTCCAGGGTATGAGCTATGGCATTGGGACTGCTCATCAGCAATGAAAGTCTCTTCTCCAGCACCATATGTGAAGGTGAAACAGGCAGACAAACGACAAGGAGATGTGGAGTTTGCCATAAGGACCTCCTTACTAAAAAAACAGCTCTATCTCAGTCTCCCCAGCCCAGCTGTGGCACCAATCTGTGACCTCTCCCTGGGTCCCTCACCTGGAGCTTTAGTAACTCCTGGAAAGCAGATGAAAGGCTCAGCCATCCAGCTGTGCACAGTGCCTCAGGTCACAGAGTGCCAGAGGGACTCCAGAAACATTTTGTATATGCATGAGGTGCATCTTTGGCTGTGTGGAGTGGAAGGAGGGAGTCAACTGAGCCGGTGCTTGGTGCACACAACTTGAAAGTTCAGTTTAGGAGGTACCCAAGTGACATTATGACTCTGGCAAGGCAGAATCTGAAACACTTTCTGCTGTATCCTTGCCTGTAGGCCAAGCTAGTGCCACTGGAATAGTCTTCAGCTAAACAGAAAAGCTGTTTAGTTAGTTTTGATTAATTTGTCTTTCTAAATGTAGGAGAGGGGGATGAGCAAGAACAAGAAATTTGGCAAAAACAGCATTTTCAGAAAAAGACAGCAGGAAGCAACGGGGTCTTGGGGAGTGCGTAGAAAGGAAGGTGAGAAGTGTTATGAACTAGTACTTATGGAAAGACTCCAGTTTCTCCAGAACAACAGTGGAGAAACAGGAAATTATTATGGAGAAACTGGAAAATTATCCCTATGCATTAACATGGTGTGTTTACCCCCAAAGGTTCCAAGAGATGTAAACTAAGTCAAAGCTCACAAGGTTTCCCCTAATGAATGCCCAGTGATAGTCCAAGCTGGTGCAGGACAGGGAATGGGTTTTTGGTCTGACCAACCAAGGTGGCTGCTGACACTCTTCGATGTGACACTTCACTCTTGGCAGAGATTTCCGCATCAAATCACAGTATCATGGAATCGTTTGGTTGGAAGGGACCTTTAAGGGTCATCCAGTTCCAACCCTCCTGGACTGAGCAGGGACACATTCCACCAGATCAGGTTACTCAAACCCTAATCCAGCCAGACCTTGAAAACTTCCAGGGATGTGGCATCCGTAATTTCTCTCTCGGCAACCTGTGCTAGGCACATTTCTTGTGCCAGGATGGCAACCTATTTCTCCAAAAAGTAAGAGGGACAACACCTCCCTTCACATTCTGTATCTTTCCAGATAGTAAAATTGTGCATAGCTTTAAGGCTGTACTACAGCACTGTTTTCTACCATATGCAAGACTACTACATATCACCAGGGAACCAAACTTCTCAGAGATGGCTAAGTGCTGTTACAACACAGATAAAAGTATAAAAAGAACAACAATACAGTGGTTGTACCTGTATCTGCACACTAAACTGAAACAAACCACAATGCCCAAACACCAAAAACACTAAATGGTTCTCTCATCCCTCTTATCACAGATATATCTACTGACTGTGGGTAGGTTTTGCTCCATATTTTATCTCCAGCAACGAGCACTGAAGTTGCAAATGGCATTACTGAGCATACCAAAATGCCCATGCAGTAAAGATAACACTAAAAATTGTGATATAAATCTATTTTCAGCTTTCATCTGAATATTCAGGATGTCTCCTCTTATCTCTGTTATATATTATTTTTATGCAGTTAAAGATGACAAACACCAAAAGGAAAGAGCAATCAGGAAATCGCCTCCTGGGACAGACATATATCTTCTCACAGGGCTTTTTTTTTCTTTTACCTTATTGTTTTCTGATTAGTCAATCACTTTTTAACCACCTCAGGGAAATGCAAGGTGAATTAGGAGAAAGAAGGTCAAGGTTATCATGGAAAACTGTAATCCCCTCTCTGTGGGAACTGGTTAATAGTTATGGCTAGACTCGAGTGTGGACCTCTGTTGGGAATCCCAGTGAAGGTCAAAGGCAGAGAGGAAATAAAGCTGCACTGAGATCTTAGGCAGTTAGAAGCAGACAGATGTTCCTAGGCTTTAATGAGCAGCCTTGGCTCCAAGCCTTTCTTGGCAGAGCTGTTTGGTTTTAGTATTTTTCCTTGTAGTACAAGGTAAGGCTCTGGTTATCTGGCTCTGCTTAGCTAACTGCTGATGATTTTTCCATCTAAGTAATGGCATGACAATGAAGAAACAAATTAATAATCTGAGACTTGAGGGATTGGGTCATGGGGAATGATGTGCAGCTGTAATCATGAAAATAAAAATAAAAATAATAGTTTTAGTTTAAATAAGGAGCAGTTTAAAAAGTTTAAACAGCAAATCTAATGGAGCTCCTACTGCAAGTTTTACCCCTCCTTTTTACACTTCTGACATCATGGGGAAAATAACATGAAATGGACTTTTTCTTTACTAATTCTGTTTCCAAGTCACGCTGCTGGGGGTCATGCCCCTACTTTGGAAACTCATTTGAGTTCAGCAGTGTTGAGAATTTTGACAGTTTTCTATGCCTAAGTAAAATACGTTAAATTGGAAAGTACAGGTCTAACAAGCATTTTCTGCTCAAAAAGCAAAAAAAAAAGCTGCAAGTCCAACTGTTACCAAACTGTGAAAACTGTGAACTTCCATTAAAAAAAATTAAGAAATAGACATGTTAAACATCTTGAAGACCTTTAATCCTCTCTGCTAGGCCACAATGCAATTGTGCATTATCCATAATGAAATAGCCACTGCAGCACTTTGTGGAGAATATTTTTGTTGTTTGTCAGGCACGTAACAACTCTGATACTCAGAGACTGATATCAGTCTCTTTTCCTATATTTTTGGATGTGTCATTTTTGGGTGTCTCAGTTGATCTAATATAACAGGATATTATGAATGGAAATGTTTTCACGGTGTGATCTCTCATTTCAGACTGCTTTTCACTATTACAGTCCAGACCCTGGTCTCAGTGAAAGAAATGGAAATATCTAGGTGGCTTAAGCATGAGCAGTTGTTGGAACTCGATCAGTTACAAGTCAATAAAAAACTTTAGAGCCTTACATTGGCAGGTTATACAAATTCTTCGCTCTCTGCGTTCCCAGTTGATTCTCTTTTCATTTTGAAGGCTATGAACTACTTTTCTTTCAAGCTCTTTTTTAGCACATCAGAATCTCATCCACCACTGATTGATTCAGCAAAGCTCGCCCTTTTCCAGAACCAAGTGTGAAATCTGCTTTGTGATAAATATCTGATGGTGCAGGAGCACTGGGCTGGCTCCCAAGCTAAATTCATTTGTATTGTAGCAAAAACACCTGCCTCTGTGTCATCACAAAAGCAGCTCTCCATTGTAAAGTTCAATTCAGTCTCTCAGACAAGATTCAGATTCCCTTTTTCCCCCCTCTGCAGGAGAGGAACAGATGTCCTTAGCAGCCAAAAGAAGCTTCCTCCCTCTTCATCTACCCAGCTTATATTTCCAAGTCATGAGACCTAAAACTCTTCGGAGTCAATGGCGAGGGTTTATTGTTTCCATGACACCAGTTTCTTCCCACAGCCACTCAATGCTCATATAATTACTTTACATGACACCTGCTGACTGGATGTGACAGATTTACACTAGGATTGTACCCAGGATCTCCATGTTTTCAGCCCAGCCATCAGCATGATGGGCTCCTCTGGATCAGCAGTACACCAGCCCAGTCATGGGACGGCTTCATAACTTCCCACATGTCTGGTCTGTCCTGTCAACAAATGGGTTTTGATCATTTTGTCAGCCAGAGCAGAGACTGCCTTTTCTTCTCCCAAAGGCTGGACAGCATCTACCACATGGTGTCTAATGTCTATCACATTAGACACCAATCAGGGGAATGCCTACCTTGCCAACAGGTTCCTACCTTGCCAACTGCTGTTGCAGAATGCAATGCTGAGACTTTTGGAGGAAGCTGTGAGAGACAGGTGAAGGCAGGACAAACATTTATCAAACTGCTGTGTAATATCTCGAAGAGTTTTAAATTTTTTGGCTTAAGATGTGGCCAACTTCCCTGTTGACGTCCCCAAAGTTTGGATGAAGAATAGCACTCAGTTACAAAAAAACAGAGAAATTACTGACTCATGAATATATTTGCTGTAAAGGGTGAGTTCCTCTTCATTCAGCATAGAAATTTACATGCGGTAAGGTAAAATAGAATAAAGCAAAGCTTACCTGAAGAGGCTGAAGAATCATAAGTACTTCTGTCCTTCTTATTTGTCCTGAAGGGCTGAATGTCCTTTTCCCTGTAAGTTCCAAACCCTTCAAAGCTTCTTCTTTTATTCCCACTTGCATCATTGTCCCGCTTCTCACTTGAGGAATTCATTTCACCAAACATGTCCAGGGACTCTGACCTTCCATTACTCTCAGTATTACCAGAGTATCTCTTTGTGCAAGAGTCAATGGGATCACTGCTCGAGTCGTTTTTATCTTTACTCTGTGACCACTGCTGGGTATCAGAAAGTGATAACGTAGACAGTGTGTCCACTTCAAAGTTACTCTTTGAGCCTTTGTGCCCGGTTTCACAATGCTGGTGCTTCTGCTTCTCCTTATGCTTGCTTTTCTCGTTGAGCAAGGAGAGGTCTTTGTCTGAGCCACTCAGCCTTTCATTCATGGCATGGCTGGAGAAGCCAGTGGACTTGCTGGCGAAGAGACCACTCAGATCTTCATGTGTCCCCAATATCCGCTCATCCTTATGCTTGTGCTTATGTTTGTGTTTCCTTTTGTGAAGCCGGCCACTTGAAAGGCTCGTCCCTCCGACCTTTGGAGGAGCTAAAGGGGACTGCATGTCTCCAAGGCCCATTCCCACAGGGGTTTGTAGGTGCACTCCGTGTTTTGTTTTGTGTTTGGCAGTGGTGGACATCTTCATATGAGAGCTTGCATGGAACTGGGGTGGGGGCACGGTAGGTCTCATAAATGGGGAAGCCGCTCCGAGCGTGTGAGACAGGTACAAAGGAGCTGGATACTGACCATAGTAACCAAGATTCATCATAGGCATTGATGTGTAAGGCATTCCATAGGGTGCATAGTAACTCCCACTGGGAATAGGGTAACTGAACCCTTGTAAAAAAGGCATTTTTGTCATGGTGTCATTGGTTTTGGTAGCTCTACCATGCTTCTTCTTAGACTTCATGTCAGAGGTCCTGCGAAGATAGAGCAATGGGTCATACTGGATATATGGCACAGGGTAGTAGTGATCAAAATTAATCCTGAAGATGCTGGGATATGGATTTTCATGATAAAATGTATAATTTCTATGGGAAATCCTGAACACTTGGAACTTATTGATGAGTTCCTCAAGGTCTGCGAGAAACTGGAGGTCATCTCTGTTCTGCAGGCTTTTCCTTTTCCTCTTGTGCTTTGGCTTTTTAATACTCTCATGAGAGAGAAAGTTATCCACAATGAGATGCTTCTGCCGGTGACCATGCCTGTTCTTTGTGCTGGTGTCAGATGGGATAGCCTCTGGATTGTCCAGGGTGCAGAAATCAAAGGAGTATCTCCGGCGGGATTCTGAGCTTTTCTCGGCTTGGTCAGAGGTGCTGTTGTTGTCTGTACCTATCCCACTGTCGCTCGGGATGGTTTCCTCGCTGTGAGACTCGCTCACTGGCGACAGCGTGACTTCTTTCAGAGAACCTATTTCACAGAGGTGGGAAGGTGAATTAGCCATTAGCCTGGGTGGAGACAGCTTCCAAGTTCCACTGTGCATTCCTTTCTGGGTTTTTGTAGGAAGAGCACTGATAGGTTGAAGATTTGGCATAGTTTTTAACTCTGAAAAATTTGTTTCAGTGCTTGCAGGGCTAAGGTTGCCGTTAGTCCCCACTAACTGTGTTGAAAGTGGATGAATAGTTGCAAGTGACTGCAGGTTGGAAGGCACTGCTGGGTTTTCTGGCTGGCTGGAAACAGGCCTTGAGTGCTTGACAGCTGTCTTAGGTTCTTCTTGTTGAGTCTGCAGCTCTGTTCTTGGTTTTCTGCCCCGTTTTTTACCAATGTAGATAGTCCCCCTCTTGCTAACGTTGATCTGCTTCCCTAGTCTGGCATCAATGGTGGTTGGCCCAGCACTAGATGGTGGCTGGACTTTTGCTTTCAGAGCTATGCTGCTGGAGCAGGAGGACAAGATCTGATTGAGAATATTCTTCCTCTTGAGGGTTTTCATTTTATTAATGGTCTTGATGGTCTTCTTTATCCAAGACCCCAAGCTTCCCGACCTTTTTGTGAAACTTGAGTTCACTGATGGACTTGTCCTCTCCTGGGACCATCTGGGCCAGCTTGGCCAGATTCCTTCTCCTCTTCCTTTTCTTTGTTCCTGGAAATTCACGATTGATTGGACTCACTGGGCTGGTGGAGGTTCCCTCGTGAATGGTTTCAACAGTGAGCAGAGGCTGTTTCTTTGGTCGTCCTCTTTTTTTCTTGACAGGTGTGATCACAGTAAGACTGTCTGTATTGGTGTACAGAGGGCTGGATGGTGTGATGGGATAGGCTGAAGGAGGCTCCACCATCAACTTATTAGATGTTGTCGTGGAGGTCTCCCGAAGGATAGATTTAGGTTTGCTGCAGGTCCATCGCCGCTTTGCTGCGTGTTTGGGGTGCTGGACTTCAGATAATTTGCCAGCTGTGGAAAGGTCGGTGGGCAGGAGAGTGGATGTCACTGCTAGAGGTTTTCTGACTCTGGCGGCACTGTTGGGGGAAGCTTTATCAGGGAGCACACCACTGTTGATAGCTACTAAGGGGGACTCATTTTCTATCACTTTCCCTGGCTTTGTGGCTCGAAGATCTTTTTTGCTCGCCTCTGATTGAGAGCTAGTCCTGCTCGCTATTTCACTGCTCATAGTAAGTACAGAAGACAGGCTTTTCTCCTGGATAGTTTTCTCTATAGAAGATTTTATGGATTGCCTTTTTTTCCTTTTGTGGCCAGATGCATCTGTCGTCGGAGACTTTATTGGGATAGTAATTCGTACATGACTGGTGTCACTTTCACAGCTGCTAGCAGAAATGGGATTCTGCTTTGAGGGTGATGTATCCAACACGCTGTCCATCGAGTAAGACTCCTTTTTCCCTTCCATGCTGTCATGGGATTTGCTGTCAAATGCTTTCTGGGCACTCTTCACCCACTCCATGTCCGTGGTTTGGACGGTCTGACTTATCAAGTCCTTTTTGTTGGACTTCTTCTTCGTACTTCCAGCGGGCTGGTCAGGGGCCTCCAGCTGCACGCCTCCCTCTGGATCCCCAAGAGGCAAAAGCCCACTGCAGTCGGAGGCGCTGCTGGGCTGGGCGGCCACGCTGATGCCGCTGGGCGACGGGACTGCACTGCAAATACCAAGCTCTTTACTACTGACTGACAGCTGCCCCCACGTGCTGCTGCTGCAGGATTTCTTGGCCTGGGATTTGCTGAAGGGAACTCCTGGCTCCAGAGCAGAGACCTTGGTGGCACTAACAGCTTCCCTGCCGGGTTCTGTGTTGATGAAGCAACTCTGAGAAGCAGATCCGGTATCGGGGCTCGCTGACCAGTCAAGATGGTGCTGGTTGCTACTTTTCTGCTGGTGCTTTGATTTTAAGGTGTCACTGGTGAAGTCTTGTTGGAGGCCCGGATCATAGTGCAGAGCAGAATGTTTCTGTGGCCTGTCATAAACCTGTAAGGTAGCAGAAAGTAAATAAAAAAAAAAAAATAGTTTATTAGTCTGTTCATAACCCCTGCTTGCAGCTCCCTATTTGTGCAGTGAATGACAACTCTTCCTAACCAATGTCCTTGTAAGGGTTAGAAACCTTTATAAAGTGTTCTCATACTTGAGCCAAATTTGCATTTAGATTCATACACAGTAAACAAGTCTTTTTTTTTTTTTTGGTTTCTCCATTCTAAAAGCAGTGGAAATATTTCTATAAATACAAAATTGCTGGGGAAACATTTCTATTGATTTTTAATTTGAAACATAAGTAAAATATTCCTTTTCAATGGATGAATGGTGCAACTCAACCTCCTGGCGAGAATTCCTTTTTCCTTAAAAATAATTCCTCACAGAACTCGAGGCTTAACAACAGCAATTAAGTTCACTACTGTAAACAAGAAAACTGAAAAATTATCTCAGAAGTTCTAACAAACAAGAGGAAAACCCATGGATCCACTGCCCCTGTGAAGCCAGATTCTGCAAAGATTTGTTTGAGTTTCCACATAGAAGCCATCCCCACAGACTTGGTGCTTAAAATCATATGCTTAGCATCAAGTGTGTGAGGCACACTTGGCAGGTTCAAGATTTGCATTACTCCTTTTCCATTTTAATAATCTGCTATTTGCAATGTTGGTGAGAGATATTTTCAATACGATTTCTAATCTGACAGGAGCTCTTCAACCCGCAGAGGTTACAGCAAGGGCAGAATGAAGCTAAAAGCTCTTACAGAGCAAAAGAAAGTCCTTTTTTTTTTTTCTTGGTGGGCCTCCTTCAGCTAAAGAATTCTGTTTACTACAGCTGTAACTTTTTGAAAAGCCCTTTAAAAGCACACAAAAAAAATTATTTATTTTTTTACTTTCTTTAAATGACCTGTTTTCTCCTGTTACATTTAGGTCCTTTTATTTTGTAAAGCTCTGGGTCAAGCTGTACAACTGACTTTGTACACCTAGTACTGTACAGAACTGGGTGTACCAAATACTGACACTGTTCTTAATGTCAAGTAAATGATGAGAGACTTAAAATAAATGCGTAGCCAAGGAAAGAATGATATATTAAAAAAAAAAAAAAACAAAAAAACCCAAACTGCTAAGTGTCTCATGTTCCTGCAAACAGCCTCTTACAAGTAAAGTTTCTATCAGCCCTCTTTGGGGTGTATGCAGCAGAAATTTTGGGGTAAGGAAGCAGAAGAGCACAAGAGGGCTTTGAGCTGGGAAAGGAGGTACCCCTAGTTCTGAGCAACTTCAGAGAGATTTGAGAAGGTCTAAACACCCCCAAGCCTACAGTGCATCATTTAGTGACCACTAAACATACATGTTATTGACAAAACGATGTTCAGCTCTCTTTCACGTGCATATAAAACTGGACATGTGGCTTTCCTGGAATAGGCAATAACGACGAAGTTGTTCTGGTCCATTGTCTGAGAAGCAATCAGGGACTCTTAAATCCTGTGGATAGTTCAGCTGTCATGCACATGGACCAGCCATGCTCAGGGAAAACAGAGATTTCCAGGAATTGTGGAGTGAGAAAACGAAAGCATGCAGCTGCGGTGGAGCTGCAGATGTCGCGGGCAAGAGACACCCAGTTTCCTCAGCCTGAGAGAAGAGTCGAAAGCAAAAACAGCCCTTGGGGGATGAATCAGTTCCTCTTCCTCCTCCTCCTCCTCCTCCTCCTCCTTGCAGTGGCCTCCCATGCATGAGCCCTGCAGCATGCAGAGGCCACGACCCACACTGATGCCCTCCTTTGGAAAAGGGAGCCCACCCTCATCTCATCTTGAGATGAGGCCAGGGAGGGGTCGAAAGGAAACCAGCAGCCCCAGCACTGGAGTTTTAAAGATTGTTTTTATTTTGATTATTTTGATTATTTTAAACTGATCCCAAAGCTCCTGAGATCTGGGGCTTCTCCTGCCCCCTAGCCACTAGACTGGGTGTCCTGTCAGATGGGCACAAGGAGGTGTGTGGGACATGGCCACCCCCTGGTGAGGTCCCAGGGAGCTGGAGGTGGTTACCCTCCATCCCAGCCCCACATAAAAAAAAATCATCTTCCTGAGGTACCATGATTTTGATTGTGGAAGAGCCCTGGAAGTTCTGGGCTGAGGGCTCTCGTGGGCCCCAGGACCCACACTGAGGCAGGGCCAGGCTGCTTCTGAACAGATCCCAGCCTGATGGTAGCAGTCAAAGCATCTCCTTACACCCACATTATTTCACAAATGCTGAGCCGTGAAACTAAATGACCTGAAAATTTTCATTTGTAAGAGAGAAAAAAAACCCCAACAACAACAAACAAAACCATAAGAAAGAGGGTTACAGCAGTGAGAAAAAATGTGACATGCAGGCAACACCCTGGTCCCTCCATATCTACCACACACGCAGGGATCCATAGTTTAAAAGGAGCAATAACCTCTGATCTGTATTTTAAGGCAGTTAATAAGGGCTCAGAACAGAGAGGCCAGCTATAGATCAGCGATGAATGCTGATATATGGCTTGGCTCCTCCAGCCTCATTTCCTTGGCCTGCACATTATATAGTGATGATGCAACTCCCAACACATCCCTAATGATAGCCTTGTCATTACTCCAGCAGCATGGGACACCACCACATCGATCTTAAAATTCACGAGAGAGATATGCCTATGTCATCAAAGGTGCCAACTCTGGGGGCATTTAATCATGCGGATAAGCACTCTGATTTCAACAGGCCTTCAAAAAATGACCAGTCTGTAGGATCAGGGGACTCCATTTCCTCAGCAGGATGTCGGAACTGTATATCTGCCCAGGCACATAACAGTCTGCTGGGCTTCCTCGTGAAACTGCCTCCAGCATCACATTTACTGTTGGCTCTACCTTGCCAGAGACACCCATATCACCCAAAAATAATTATTCTGCAGCCCAGCAGCCACAGATTATTTGGCTGCAGCAGGTTGGATTTCAGTGGCTGCAATGGATTTACCTAAAAACACTACTAAATCAGTCGAAAGTAATGCAGCCCCACGTATTTTATTCCTTGTCTACCCATCTAGCTTGCTGTCTGATCCCATTGGTCCTCATGTTTAGGCTCCCATTTTCCCTTCTAGGCAAGCACCATCCCAAGAAGCCAAAAAGCCCCATCTCAGCTAAGCCAAGACTCTGCTGAGAGCTGATAGGGGATGTCAGAGCTGTCAGGAGGGTGAGGGCAAACAAGGATCTCCAGAAACCTGTATCTTGGTACTTTTCACATAGATTCATTACTTTATTTGTCAGTAAGTGTGAAATATACTCCAGCTCCATAGGTCTTGGCAAGGGGCTGTTGACTTGAATAGAGTTCCTGTGGCAGCCAGCCGAGACCAGCACCAGGAATAGTGGGGTTTTTTGCATGAAAACAGAAAGATTTACCTTTATTTACTTTTTGGTTTATGAGGCCCTAAAAGTGCTTCAAACTTCAGCGCCTGCCTCTTCTTGTAGCTTTCCCTTTCATTAAATAGGATTTTCTTCTGCAGCCAGATATTCTGCACTGGGAACCTGCTTCTTCTTTTTCTCTTGTGGAAGTAGAAGTATAAATCAACCCATGTAATTTTGCTACATCTCTCTATACTTGGTCAACATTTCTCTTCATATGCAGTTTACTGGAAGTGTTTAGCAGGTTAATAATTCCGTCTTTCCTTTAAATAAAATAAAATACACACAGAGAAGCTGACAGCTTTCTTTCCTAACTGCAAAGAAGCTTGAGCAACGTGATCCAGCCCATGCTAAACCTCAGACTAGACAAAACAAAATTTGAGTCCCATTATTAGTAGTATATGATTTGAATTACAAACTCCTGTGCCTCAGCCCTCAGCTTTGGCAGTGGTGGGTAGACCTATAAGCAGGATACATCCCATACACTGGTGATAGTGAGCACTGGTCAGAGAGCAGAGGTTTTACACTGTGTGCTTATACCTGCCTTGCCAGATCTCTGAAACCTTGCACCTGAATGAGTGATTATTCCCCATAACAGTTTTATTCTGGCACGCAGCCCTTGCAGCTGAGGAGATGAGACTGCATCAGTCCCATGAGGAGCAGCACCCTTCTCTGCAAATAGTACCCAGCAGCAGAATCCATCCCTCAGGGACTCTTTTCATTTAACTACTGGATATCTCAGTCTGCCTCCCCATTCCCTTGACTGAGATTCCATCTAAATCCACATGCTGCTTCCAGTCCCAAAGCAGGAAAGTGGGAGAAGATGACAGCAACCTAATCGAGGGCCTAATAAAATACTACTACTTCTACTAGTAATAATAATATTAATAATATCAAAATAAGACAGAATAAAACTATTAATAATGATAAAATAGGCAGTAAGAGAAACTCATCACCTGGAAAAAAAAAAACCTGAGTGATTAAAGGAGTGGTGTCGTCCCCCCCCTCCTCCAATCGCACCTTTTTGAGGAGGTAACACACATAAAGCTTGTCAAGAATCTGGCTTGCAAATCAAAGTTAATACTACAACGCCCCCTCTTTAAATCATTGCAGATCCATCTGTGTAATGGCTCCTCAAGTGTAATTCCCTATTAAGAGGCTTTATCTGGAGAGATAAGCAGCTGGTTCCCATGTCACTAATTGCTGTCTGCTGTGATTTTAAAACATCTGCACCATTGTGCTCTTCATTTTCATATTCTAATCACCCTGAAACTTGAAAAAGGTACATCATTGATTGTTTCTGTGGGTTAATTAGTACACAGTCTCCTTGTAGAGACAATTTAAAGGCAGTCAGAACCTCAATCAGCAAGTTTGTTTTAAAAATTAATAACATCGGGAGCGTCTGTGGGGATTGGCATCCACAGTGACACATCAGAGTGTGCTCTGGGGACATACCATCCTTTGTTATCTTCTTCACATGCTGGAAATAAAATTGAAAAGGAAAATAAGAAAGAAGAAAGGCTTTCCTAAATGCACAATGTCACTTAAGATCAGGGTCTTGGGAAGTGCCTGCTCTTATCCCAGGGACATCCCTGCC